CGGGCCGCGGCCGCCGGACGTGACGGAACGGGCCGGGCCGGGCCGGGCCGGGGGCGGTGCTCGGCCCGAGCGGCGGCGGGAGCGGGAGATGGAGCGGCGGCAGTGATCGTTCAGCGATCGCACCTCCCTGTGCCCCCTGCCCGGGCCCAGCGCCTGGTTTGGTCTCCTGCGCCTCGCGTAGCGCCTGTGAGGAGCGAAGCTGACTCCCTGAGCTGGCAGCGCTGTGCCGGAGCCTTCCCGTGAGGAGCCTCGGCACCAGGATGAGCACCGCCAACTCACAGTAAGCTCCCGTTGTCTGCAGCTCCCTGTGCGGTCCCGACGCATCAGGCAGCGAGCGTTTTGTATGTCTGGGGCGAGTTAAGAAGAGCTGGGACCATCAGTTGTGTTTTCCCTCTGGTCATTATGGTCACCGTGCTTGCCCTCGTGCACGTGTAGAGTACCGGTGCGAAGAGAGAATTAGACTGCTCAACGAGTATTTTTAAAAACAAAAAACATACGAAGGGTTCTTGAGTTTTTAATTAGACACTTCAGAGGGATGCTTGCATCCCTTTATTGGAACAGATAACAAATAATAACCAAATACAAATACAAAATCAGATAACAAATTTGTTTGGGATAAACAAATCTTCCAACTGGCTGGTTTGGCGATATGCTGTTTGCAGTACAAGTAGTGAAGTATTTTGAGACTCTTGCAGGACTGATACTTGGTAGAGTTTTATGACAAATCTCCGTGTTTCATGACTTTGGACAGATAAGCTTACCTTAGTAAAGATTGTGTCTTTAGAAATCCCCTATATGTATTGCTCTCTGACACTAGTTTTCCTGTCTTACTCAGGGATGATGAAGATACCTTTAAAATACTCGTTGCTACTGATATTCATCTTGGCTATTTGGAGAAGGATCCAGTTCGTGGAAATGATACATTTGTAACTTTTAATGAAATTCTGGACCACGCTCGAAAAAATGATGTAAGTGCTACTTTTCGGAGAGGGAAGCACTGAGGCCATTGAAAATATGGTTGAATCTGCCAGAAGGTGTAAAGTTTAGTGCTGGTAGTCTCTAGTAATACAAAATCACATGGCTAAACTATTTGTTGCATTCAGTTTCATTTCTGATTTATGGAGAGGGAAGGACTGAGGCTGTTGAAAATATGGTCGAATCTGCCAGAAAAAAAAGCTTCCTCCTGGTAGTCTCTAGTAATACCAAATCAAATGGCTAAACTATTTGTTGCATTCAGTTTCATTTCTGATGAAATGAAAGGAAAGCCTGATTCTTTGTGAAAGCATTGTTACTGAATCATGACTTTGGTTGCATTAGCATTGTTTTTGGATTGCCTGGACCGGTTTCAGTGGTATCTTGAGAGGGTTTGTCACTGTGAGAGGGTAAAATAATTGAGGAGAGCAAGAGAAGTGATATACGGTCTTCTGACAAATCAGTACAGAAGCTTTTGAAGTGTCATGCAGTGCTGAGTTGCTGAAGTGCAGAGATTTGTTAGAAGCTTTTGAAGTGTCATGCAGTGCTGAGTTGCTGAAGTGAGCAGTTCTGGTGCCGAGCAGCTCCCGTGCCTGCACAGTCGGCAGCAGAATCCTGTAGTGGGGTGGACAGAGGGGCTTCCTGAACTGGGACAATGTGGGGGAGCCGAGAGCCACCAGGAGCCCGCAGCCGC